AATTGGTCACGAAAAGCAGAAACTCTGTCCTGTGTCATATATTTCTTAAGAGAAACTTGCTAAGATATGTATTTTCGACTGCTAAACAGGGCTTCTGTGGTTTCAGGCGTTTTCGGGTGATAATTGCGAGCAACAGGACGCACTTCGTGAGCGTGTTGTCGACCTGCTTTTCAGTCGTGTCACACTGCAACCGCTTCCAGAATTACGTCTGCACGCAAGTGGAGGCAGCATTGGAAAGGTGAGCGATTGGATAACTTATATCGTTGCTAAATTTATGGAGGTATGATAAAGAAAGGAAGGCGAAGGGTGGAAGGATAGGTGGTTAGCACCGAAGTACCACTTCGGGCGCAAGGAGCCATGCCTAAGCAGTCCAAATATGCTTTAGTGTACATATGGAAGGGGCATCCTGAGACTGTCTGGGCGTGAATTATTGTACAAAAAAGGAAACTGGAGTGTTATTTGATGACACACTAATGAAGAAAGCAAATAGAGTTGGTGGAAGTTTTTAAAGCGTGCTCTACCTTAATATTATCAGAATTATCTGAATCGCTGACTCCTTTCTACTAATTGAATACTAATGAACATTATTTCTCTTTTGGTACCTTTTCGGCACCTTATAAATCTACTCTGTATCATCCTGGGTCCTCCTTAACCCATAACGGACGGCGTGCGCCACAAGGTGGCGCACGACTATTTCTTTTGTTTTTGGAATGTTTCTAGCAATCTTAATATACCCATATATACTCTCAGCAATGTGGAATAACATATCTTCCCAGGACCTGGACGGCTGGATTTTTGACAAACCTACAATAAATTTTACATACATTTTGTCTTAATTTACATAAGTTTACTATTTGATGGGTGGCTTACCCATGGTTCGCACGTCCCGAGACCCCTTCCCCTAAATATAGCCACATCCTTGCTCGGGGTTGTTGTTTCGCATTTTTCGATAATGTCACCTACAGCTTCCATTCATTCTTTGCACCCTAGTTTTAGAGCGGAAAGGCGGGCTTACGAACTTGTCGTCAACGGAAATCTCTTTTTTTGGATGATGAGACTCCGACACCTACTTTAGCCCCGTCTTAACCCTGCTGTTCGCATAAGCCTACATAAACCCTACCCTGGGTGGCGGCGTGCGCCACATGGTGGCGCACGCAACAAATACACTGGCCGTCCGTTATGGGTTAAAAGGAAACACGTTTCATAGCACCCCAATTAAATATGACCACCCT